CGAATCTCCTATATCACAATTCATGGCCCAGGACATCATAGTCTAAGGACGTCATATGCACTATCCAAAGACGATCTTTCATGGTCAAAAGAGAATTTGCATCATCTATATACTCGCATGAATTGTGTTTTAAGTTTTGCAGGTAATCTAGGAGGTAACCGTTCTTCAAACAGGAGCAGCCTTTGCTCCGGTTTTCGCTCATGCCATTTTCACTTTGCCATTATAACCGATTCCCATCAATTACTCACCTTACTTTGTGATATCCAGATATATGACCTATAATCCCTTCGTTACACTCTTGACCCATAATCATAACTCTATCCGACGTCACCCTTCACAAAAGAACCTTTTGATGAAACAGGCTACCATTCCTATAACAACTCCATCGGCTTCATTCACCGTTGGGTCCAGAACTATACATGGCCTAATTCCTGTAAGACCAGGGATATGTAGGCAACTCAGAGACCAGGGTTCGGCCTCTATTTTCTTCAAAGCACACATTTGGTTAAAATCGGTCATCATTTCTTTACCCGAAAACTCTTTCATCCTTCCCGGGTAAAGAGGGGAAGCTGTTGATACCCAATTTTTCCCTTATATATTTTAAATATGCATAAGCACTTTCAAAGTATTGTGCATGCATTTACAAACACGTATAACTGTTTTACAATTTTTTCTACAATTTTTCAAGGCCCTAAATCCATTTATTTCTTCATTTTTTAATTACATAAATGTTCAAAACTATCCCTTATATTATTTTGTGATGATTTAATCATCTAACTTCATCATTTATGTTCATAAGAGTGGTCAAATATTTTAATTGCATTTTTTTCTAATTACATTTGCATTTTTAATACTATAATTGCATATTTTTGTCACGACCCAAGTTCGCCCTCCGTGAACTGTCGTGACGGCACCTAGTCTCTACGACTAGGTAAGCCTAAAAATTGCAAAAAAGAACCAAAATGCGGAGAAACTAATAAAAACTAAAGATAAACAAATATAGAAGTGTTTAAGATGCCGCTAGGCATATACGAATACAAGATATCAAAAACTGGACAATTCCCAAAACCTGGAATCTCATGAAATCACAAGCTATGAATACTACATTGTGCTCTAACTCCAAAATTTCTAAACAAAAGTAAATACAGAAGGGCTAATGCTATAAGAGAGAATGGAAAGGGACTCCTTGGACTGCGGACGCGGCAGATATACCTCGATGTCGCTGGTGAATCACCTCACCTCAAGAGTAGTAGGGCTGAGTCGAAATACCTGGATCTGCACATGAAAGGCATGCTCAGAAAGGGCATGAGTACACCGCAGCGGTACTCAGTAAGTGCCAAGCCTAACCTCGGTCGAGTAGTGACGAGGAACGTCAGGGCCCTTCTAATTATAGCTAAAAAATAAGATAAAACAGTATAGAATACGACAATATAATTAAATGCTAATATTATGAACTAACACAGGATAATAAAAAAAAACCTGCCTAGAGAGAGAAGCTGATTTTGGGCGATCTTGAGGCGACTAGAGAGAGAAACAGCTCCCATGGCCGCGCCGACCACTGCCTAGCCTTCAGTGAAGGTTGGGCAGTCGTCTTCTGATCCTAAGACAATCCCCCAAACAACTACTAACCCTAATCCAAACCAAAACTATGCAAAATTGTTCCAGCCTCAACCATTAAATTCTCCCATGCACGTGAACAGTGTAAACCTAAAACCAGTCGAGTTTTTACATGGAGAACCAATGGTGAGATGGAAGAAAACTGAGGTTAAACAATCAATAATCCAACAAGAATTGCATCTGGCAGTCCTGGGCAAGTTTTCATATGGCAAACCTGTGATCCAAGAATTGAGGAAGGCAATTCCAATTCAGTGTGAGCTCAAAGGATCATGTTATGTTGGTTTGATTGAAGATTCGCATGTTTTGATAAAGTTATCGTTAATGGAGGATTATATTCACTTTTTATCATAGCCAGCTTTTTATTTGAAAGCTCAAGGTGAATTCTGGCAGATGAGATGTACAAAGTGGAGTCCTTGGTGGTCTCCTGATGTTGAGACACCAATTGCCATTGCTTGGATATCTTTTCAGGATCTTCCTCCTAATTTTTTGGTAAGGACTTTGTCTTTTCGTTGGCTAATGCAGTAGGTAGACCATTGCATGTTGATTTGGCTACACAAAATGTCACAAGACCTAGTTGTGCTATGGTTAAGGTGGAGGTTAATCTACTTGCAACACTGCCCCAAAGGATATAGATCATTGAAGAAACTGATGAAATTGGACCTGAGGAATCGAAGTGGATCAAAATAAGGTATGACTACATGCCTAAGTATTGTAAGACATGCAAGAACAAGGCCATAGTGAGATGGAATGCTGGGTAATTCACCCAGAATTGCATAAAATTTCAGTGATGAGAGCAAGGAACAAGGCAAGGAGAAGATAATGGTGGTGAGTTCTGATGCTATATGCACAGCTGCACAGTCAACCAAGGTGTTATCAAGTGGAAAAGTGGTTGGAAAGCCTGCCAATAACAATGCTAAACAGGAATGGCTGCAAGCTAGGAAGAATAAATATCAAAGAGATAAAAGGGGTTACATTATTAATGAGGTAAAAGAGGACAACAAGGGCAAAGGGAAGCTTAAGGAGGAGGCAGTGGTGTCCAAAAACAAATTTGAAGCATTAGAAGTGGAGGAAGATGTTCAACCAATATTGACAATTATGGATGGCAATGTAGATGGTAAGGACAAGAATAAAAGAAAAGAGCAAGTATTTAAGGGAACTAGCAAGGACCAGCAGCAGGAAAGGAAGAAGAATGGAAGGGATCAATCTCCTAATCCTACTCTTAATGGGATTGGGGGAGGTGATTCAAGTAAGTCAACGGGCAAGGAAGGTGGAAATTCATCTCTAAATAAGGAAGAATTTGATTTGAGAAAAGTAGAAAAGGAAGCTGTAGAGAATGCAATTAAGGAAAGGGAAGCAGCTCTTATTCCTGTTGATACAAGGACGGATGTTGAAACTAGAAAGGAAAATACCATATATTGGGTGCATAGGAGATTTGGGACAAATAAGAAGGAATTAAGGCAGTGCAATGTGACTACCAATAAGTCATGGCAAGATATTCCTTCGCAAACTCATGAAGATTCCGGGCATATAGATGAACTCAATGAGGTTAATTCAGCTAAGACATTATGAAGTGAAAAAGTTGAGGTATTGGAGAATCACCACAGGGAGGAACAGGTGATAGGAGACAATGCAAAGAAGATTACCTCCCAAACTCAAAAAACTGGAATTACTGAAGATGCTACAGTAAACCCTAGCAGTTCCAAAACTAGGGTTGAGGAAAATTTGAATTCTGTGATGGATCAAGATGGGAAACAAATTGGAGATGGTAAAGGAGCATCTAGGGAAGCTGGAAATCTATGTAGGCCAGATCAAACAGCTCAGAGCAAGATAGAGGGCGATGGAACAGTAACTTCTGACAAAGCTGGGTTGAAGAAAGGACCTAATGAAGATGTTCTTATGAAGGTCATAGATGAGACAATGAGGTTAGAGCAACAGACAGGACGAGGGAAGAAGGGTGAATCCAATGGAACAGTAATCCCTGTGCAGGCAACTACAGTAAATCCTAGACTTGGCAATGTCTATGGGATGCAATTCAAATTGATACAGGCTGCTATTACTACCATAGAGCAGGCCTAGGAGAATGAATTGAGTAATGAACAGTTAGAGCAAGCAATTGTACCAAGAGAGTCTGGGGATCTAGAGGAGGTACCAATGGAGTCTGGAACTGATAAAATCATGCAATTACATCTCAATGTTCCATTAAGGACTCCACTTCAGCATCTGCATGATCGTGTTACACATAATGTGGTACCAATTGAAGAAGAAATCCTAGGCCAAAATACAATGGAGGATGAAGGAGATGATGAATCAACTGTTGACAATTTCAAGCAAGTGGCTAGGGAAGGGTACCTATCACCTACAGCCAGTGCTAAGGGAGGTAAGAAGACAAAGAAGAATCACAATAAAGAATCTGCTCAACCTACAACAATTATGCCCAGGAGGGCAGCCGCATTAACTAAATGATGATGATTAAGACACTCATTTGGAACATAAGGTCTGTGAAAACTCAACAGGCCTTTCCCGGAGTGATCAATATGAATAGGGAGCATAATTTTTGTGTAGTTGCATTGATGGAACCTTTACAAAAGAAATGATTCATTAATAGATAGAGAAGAAGGCTGAATATGGAGACTGCTTATGCAAATATTAATGGGCAAATATGGTTATTTTTTGATTCAGTAGTAGAATGGGAACTGGTGGAGGATACTGAACAACAAGTAAGTGTGAAAGTGTTTCATCATGAGTTGGGACAGCACATGATGATTACATTTGTCTATGCCAAATCTTCAGCAATGGAGAGACTACAATTGTGGGATCATTTGTACTATCTAGCAAGTGATATGGAGCTTCCATGGTTGGTAGGAGGAGATTTTAATGTAGTGTTGCATAAAGATGAGAAGATAGGGGGACTGCCTGTACATCCTCCTGAATATGAGAACTTTGCCTTTTGTGTAAACTCTTGTGGTTTGTTTGAACAAGGGTACAAAGGGAGTCCATTTACATGGTGGAATGGGAGACCTAATGCTCAGTGTATATTCAAGAGGCTGGATAGAATATTTGTGAATTTGCCTTTTCAGAATATGTTGCCTACTATTGAAGTGGAACACCTTATTAGAACTGGTTCAGATCATGCTCCTTTGCTGATGACTTGTGGTGAGCAAACTGTCAATTGTGTCAAGCCATTCAGATTTTTAAATTTCTGGATCTACATTCAAGGAGGTGGTGAAGCAGAATTGGGAAGCTGACTTCATAGGTGATCCTTTTCTTATATTCAAGCAAAAACTCAAGAAAGTAAAGGCAGCTCTATCAAAGAGGAGTAGGGACACTTTGGAGATATATTCAAGCAATTGGCTATACTGGAAGATATAGTTAAGGTCAAGGAGATGCTGTTTGAGGAGGAACCAACAATTGAAAATAGATTTGTACTACAAAAGGCTCGATTAGAGTTGAAGAAATATCTGAGCATAGAGGAGCAATATTGGAAGCAAAAGGCTGGTCTGAATTGGTTTGCTGAAGGGGACGGGAACACTAGCTTTTTTCACAATCATGTGAATGGAAAAAGAAAGAAGCTGCAATTGAAAAGGATCCAAAATTCTAGTGGGGTGTGGATCGAAAATCAAGAGCAAATGGCTGATGTTGCAGTGGAGTTCTATAGAAGACAGTTCTCTAATAAAGGTGATACTTCTAATTTCAGTTTATTAGATAATGTCCATCCATGGTTACATTGGAGCAGAATATGGAGTTAAGTAGGCTGCCAACATTTGAAGAAGTGAAAGGAGCTGTGTTTGAACTAAGTGGGGAAAGTGCTGGTGGTCCTGGTGGATTTACTGGTTTGTTCTATCAATCTTGCTGGGATATCGTTGGTAGAGACATACATAATATGGTAATGCACTTTTATGGGGGAGCAACACATCCAAAATCCATAACACACACTAATCTAGTCCTATTGCCAAAGAAGCTTAGAGTGGAGACTTTTTCTGACCTAAGACCTATCAGTTTGAGCAATTTTACTAACAAGGTGGTGTTTAGGGTGCTACATGACAAATTGGAGAAGTTTTTGCCATTACTGATATCTCCTAATCATTCTGGATTTGTGAAGGGTAGGAGTATCTTTGAGAACATATTATTGACACAAGAGATAGTGACAGATATAAGGCTAAGGGGCAAGCCAGCTAATGTGGTTATTAAGCTGGATATGGCTAAGGCTTATGACAGAGTTTCATGGAAATATTTGTTACATGCGTTGAGAAGAATGGGATTTTCATGGAAACAGATTTCATTAACATGGTTTAGAATTTGGTGTCAAACAATTGGTATTTTGTATTGGTGAATGGACAAGCTTCAGGATTTTTCAAGTCAACTAGAGGGGTAAAGCAAGGTGATCCCCTATCTCCAGCATTGTTCATACTATCAGCTGAGGTATTATCAAGATCATTAAACAAACTGTTTGATGATAAATCTTTTGTAGGGTTTGGGATGCCTAAATAGTCTGATCCTTTGAATCATCTAGCATATGCTGATGATACCATTATATTTGCATCTACTCATCCTCCATCTTTGAGCAAAATAATGAAAGTGTTGGGTGATTATGAGAAAGTGTCAGGTCAGATGATAAACAAAGCAAAGAGTTCCTACTACATGTTTGCTAAGGTGGCACATGGATTAGTTCAAGTAGTGGGGGATATTACTGGTTTCACAAGAGGTAAATTCCATTTCACATACCTTGGATGCCCTATTTTCTACACTAGAAGGAGGAAGGAGTATTATGAGGATTTTATCAAGAAGGTGAAAGCTAAGCTACACTCATGGAAAGGTAAGTTATTATCATTTGGGGGGAAACCAACACTCATATCTAGTGTGTTGCAAAGCATGCCAGTTCATATGCTCTTAGTTCTGGACCCTCCAAAGAACATTTTAGTACATATTCATAAGTTGTTTGCAAGGTTTTTCTGGAGTACAAAGGAGGAGGGAACAAGTAAGCACTGGTCTTCATGGCAAAATCTATGTTTACCCAAAGAAGAAGGGGGATTGGGGTTCAGATCTCTAAATGATGTCTCTAAGGCATTGTTTGCTATGCTTTGGTGGAAGTTTAGAACTATAAAGTCACTGTGGTCCAACTTCATGTGGAACAAATATTGTAAGAAGGAGCTGCCAACAGTAGTCCAGTTTAGAAAAGGATCCCATGTTTGGAAGCAAATGTTAAATGCTAGGGAGGATGTTGAGCATGAGATTCTATGGGAGTTGAAGAGTGGAACAACAAACATATGGCATTAGAATTGGACAGGTTTGGGAGCTCTATATCATGTACTTCCTGAAGATTTTCCTATCAATGAAGATCTACAAGATGTAGCAGAATTAAGACTGGAAGGAACATGGAATGAACATCTACTGGAACAAAACTTTACTGAGGAGATTGATGATCATGTCAGGTCTAATGTACATTATGAGGGCAGTGAGGAGCATTAGAACAAGCTATACTGGATGCCAACCTCTTCAGGTAAGTTCAGTGTGACTAGTGCTTGGCAAATTATAAGACTTAGATCAAATCCTAATCATGAATTCAAGCATATGTGGATAAAAGGGCTTCCTTTGAAGATATCTTTCTTCTTATGGAGACCATGGAGGGGGAAAATAGCTACTGATGATATTCGGAGGAGACAACGGCAGATGGTGATGTCTAGATGCTGGTGTTGTCAACAGCCACAAGAAGAAACTATACAACACATATTCCTCACAAGTGTTACTACCTCTAAAGTGTGGAATTTGTTCGTGGGAGCGGTAGGAATCACAGTGCCATTGGTGCAGTTGAAGCAAGTCATCAGACATTGGTGGAATGCACAGTGTTGTCCAAAACTAAAGCCACTATTTCAAGTAGTTCCAGCTATTATTACTTGGGATTTATGGAAGAAGAGAAATTCAGGAAAACATAGAGGTTCGGTTTCTACACATAGGGTAATCCATGAAGTTAATAGAACATTACATTATTTGGCAAAGGTAAGGTATGGTTGGCTACCTAATATTCCTATGTTATGGCTAGATATGATCCAGTATTTTGAAGGATACAAGCCTGTTATAATTACAAGGAGAGTTACTTGGAAGCTTCCTTTCCAAGGATGGTACAAATGCAATACAGATGGTGCATCAAGGGGTAATCCAGGCCCTAGCTCACTTGGATTCTGTGTGAGGAATGATGAAGGGGACCTATTTTATTCAAGGGCGGTTGACTTGGGGGAGACAAAAAATGTAGTAGCTGAGGCTAGGGCCATTGTTCAAGGGCTGGAATATTGTATTGAACATAACCTTCACCCTCTCATTTTGGAGACAGATTCATTAGTGATGAAGAAGGTGATTGAAGGGGAATGGGATCCTCCATGGACCATTATTCAGGATGTAAGGAAGATTAAGGAGATGATGGACAATTTCAATGTGATCATTCAGCATGTGTTCAGAGAAGGAAATGATGTGGCAGATTTTATAGCTAACATTGTATTTTCTTTTGCAAGTACATCAGAATTTCATTCATTCTCAGAACTGCCTAGTGCAGGGAGGAGGTTAATCAATCTTGACAAATCCCAAACTCCTAATCTGAGGGTCAGAATAGCAAAGAGGAGAGCACCAGATTAATGTTATCATATGGTCTGATTCTGCACCTATCTGCTTATCTCTTTTGGTTTGTTCTATACTGTGTGTTGTTAGGGTACATGTCAGTGGTATTAGCATGGTTACATGCTCATTCTGAAGGTACCTTGATAGTGGACAAGAGTTGTAAGAGAAGCAGGTTATGGATGGTGCATCATTACATTGTGATAAGAAGTCCAAATAAGAAAATACTGCCTGAACTTGTTCTTGTAAGTTTTTGGAGATTGGTATTACACTTCCCAGTGGTATCAGCATGGTTTCATGCTCATTCTGGGGTTGTGATGGCAATGTTCAGAAAGGGTCATGCCTCAATAGTTCTGGCAGTAGTAGTTAGTCTTTGTCTGATATGTTTAAGTAGGGCTACTGATAAGTACATGCTAAGAGATCAAAATGCAATGGTCTCACATGAGTACATAGCACACAAAAAGGAAGTTGAATGTGCACATTTGTTCCTTCATCTGTTGTATTTGTTTTACTTAGTATTTACATGCATATTGAGTTGTCATCTTTTAGTGGTATTAGTGTGTTTAAACACTCATTCTGGAGATGATAATGCAGTATGCATGACCTTAGTGTTGAGGGAGCAGATGGTAAACTTTCTGAATGGTTTCTACTTGAATGGAACTCATTGGATCAACATGAAAGATGGGGAGATTTTGCTGATTTCAATTGATTGGTGTAGTTGTTTGGAGTCCATATTTGCCTTTGGAATGCATACCCTGGTGCCTGGTGAGAACATTGGAGGTGCTGCTTGGTATTTGCCTTTGGCCATTGGATTCACTAACACTGACAGGAGATTGAATCATGCAGCTTTACACGTTGTAATAGCTAATACTTTTATTTATAGCTTATTAGCCTTTACAGTTGCTAGTAGCTTAGTACATTTTATATTTTGTTTTGGACATCTTGTATGTTTTCGACCTAATTTTGGGATTATATATATATATATATATATATTAGCCACTAGGCAGCATGCCTAGTGGTATATTTGCTAAAAAAACACAGGATAATAAGAATAAAACAACTAATATAGAGACATAAGTAATCACGGAAAGAACACATCTCTGCATAGAGATAACAACCGAGAATCTCCCAGGATAACGTCCTGTAGTCCCAAATATAAATATCCAGCGGATCTCCCGGGATACCGTCCCGTAGTCCAACTCATAGTGCGCGGGGATCTACCGGAATCCCGATCCGTAGTCCCAAATGTAAATACCCAGTACTGGGGGAATATACCGGGTGCAGTCCCCTAGTTCCAATATAAAAGTGCAGGGGGAGCTCCTGGAATACCAATCCGTAGTCCCAAAGTAAATAGGCAGGGGGGATCTCCCGGGATACCGTCGCGTAGTCCCAAAGTAAACACACAGCAGCAACACAAAGAATACTCAATTTAATTCAAATTTCATACCAAGGTAAAACAGGTATTTCTAACCTAGCATGCTGCACATAATCCCAATAAGGCAGTTTGAGCAAATAAAGCAATTAAGGCAGTTAGACATGCTTCCCTAAGCTAACAGCAGGCTTAAATTGCAAGTAGTATAAGCAGGAAAGGAAACACAACTAGAGTTACTTAATGAAAAGAGGATTTTCAACAATTAGCCGAAGTACGCACTCGTCATCTCAAGTACAAGGCATTTCAAATACCAAAAATACCAAATCCAAAGGGGAGTTCCCCCACACAAGGTTAGGAAAGCCACTTACCTCGAACCGGCTCAAAATCAACCCGAAACCACGCTCTTGCCACGAGTACTCGACTCCAAATGGCCCAAATATATTCAAAGCAATTGCATAATGTAAATAAAACTTCAAGTAACTGATTCCACTAATTAATTCTAATCTAATACGCGAAATTAGGAAAAAACTAACCAAAACGCCCCCCCGGGCCCACGTCTCGAAATCAGGTAAAATTTACAAATTCGGAATCCTCACACTCTCACGAGTTTAGTCATACCAAAAGTACCAAAATCAGACCTCAATTGGTCCCTCAAATCGCCACTCATAGCTCTCCAATTAATCAAGCCCTAACCCCTAATTTACCACTGATTTTCCTTCAAATTTCAAGCTTAGAATGATAAAAATCACCATAATAACGAGTTAAGGAACCAAGGACCTTACCTCAATGAATCCCTCTGAAAATCCCCCTTAAAAATGCTCCCCAAAGCTTCTTCCCGTTTGAAAAGAGATGAAAAATAGCTCAAATTCGCGAAGGGAGAAATATATATGTTCTGACCCAGCAAAACCGCATCTGCGGTCCAATTACCGCACCTACAGACCCGCACCTGCGGTCCCAGGCGCGCATCTGCGGTTCTTCACTTATCCGCCAGCCACCGCACCTGCGATGAATTTCTCGCACCTGCGCCTTCGCAGCTGCGCCCACATTTCCGCATATGCGGCTCCAGCGTTCCTTCCTCTTGGCCGCATCTGCGGCTTCCCTTTCGCTTCTGCAGGCTCGCACCTACGGTCTCCAAACCGCAGGTGCAGTCATGACAGCAAACTCAGCAGCTTCAGCTGCAAATTCCCAACTCCAAACTTCCCGTTAACCATCTGAAACCACCCCGACGCCGCCGGGACCTTAACCAAAAGCACAAACAAGTCATATACCACTATCCAAACTTATACAAATCTTCAAAACACCTCAAACAACATCGAATCAACTAATTAACATCAGATTCAAGCCTAAGAACTTCAAAACTCTCAAATTACACTTTCGATCAAAAAGTCTATCAAACCTCGTCCGAATGACCTGAAATTTTGCACACACGTCACATTCAACGCTACGGAGCTACTCCAACTCCCGGAATTCCATTCCAACCCCAATATCAAAATCTCACAATCGAACCGGAAACTTCAAAAATTCAACTTTCGGCATTTCAAGCCTAAATGAGCTCCGGACTTCCAAAACACAATCCGAACACGCTCCTAAACCCGAAATCACCCAGCGGAGCTAATGGAACCAGAAAAATTCCATTTTGAGGTCGTCTTCACACTGTTCCGACTACGGTCCAAATTCTAAATCTTAAGCTCTCATATAGGGACTAAGTGTCCCACAACTCTTCGTAACTCCAAATAAATCCTCCCGGCAACTCACAATAGCATAAACAAACACGGGGAATGCAGTTAATAAGGGATCGGGGCGTTAATTCTTAAAACGACCGGCCGGGTCGTTACATCCTCCCACACTTAAACATTCGTTCATCCTCGAACGAGCATAGGGACATACCTGAAGTAGTGAAAAGATGAGGGTAATGGCTGCGTATATCCTACTCGGTCTCCCAAGTCATCTCCTCGACCGGCTGACCCTGCCACTGAACCTTCACTGATGCAATATTCTTTGACCTCAGCTTCCGAACCTGCCTGTCCTATATCGCCACTAGCTCCTCAACGTAAGATAGATCCTTGTCCAACAAGATTGAACTGAAATCCAACACGTGTGACGAATCATCGTGATACCTCCGGAGCATCGAAACATGAAATACCGGATGAACTCCTGCCAAGATAGGAGGTAAGGCAAGCTCATAAGCAACCTCCCCAACACGCCTCAATATCTCAAAGGGCCAATAAACCTCGGACTCAACTTCCCTTTCTTCCTAAATCTCATAACGCCCTTCATAGGCGAAACCCGAAGTAGAACCCGCTCTCAAACCATATAGGAAACATCACGAACCTTCCGGTCCGCATAACTCTTCTGTCTGGGCTGTGCGAAGTATATCCTGAATCACCTTAACCTTCTCCAAAGCATCCTGTACCAAGCCTGTGCCCAATAATCTAGCCTCTCCCGGCTCGAACCAACCCACTAGAGATCTACACCGCCTACCATATAATGC